GCTGTCCCTCAGCTCTTCAGCTCAAGGCGAGCGCTCTACCACTTGAGCCACAGCGCCACTTCCGGTTTTCTGGTGGTTTATTGGAGATAGGAGTCTGTCTCTCCTGCCCGGGCTGGCTTTGAACCGCAATCCTCAGATCTCAGCCTCCTGAGTAGCTAGGATTACAGGCGTGAGTCACCAGCGCCTGGCCTGTTTGAATTCTTTACTGTACTGGATCACTGGGTCTCAGCTACTGTAACATTGGTTTAGGTGACCATGTTAGGGGACTAGTCCAAACCAAGTGTGAGCTGTACCCAGATATGCTTGGGTTAAACTTGTGTAGAAATGAACCCTGTGGCCTCAGGAATGTCTGTGCTGATGACAAATGTTCTTAAAAGCATTATTTCATTGTAGACACTGTGTAAGGGTGGCTACAATAGCAGAGATTCTTAGTGTCTGGTGTCTTTTAAGCTCTGCCAAAAACAAAGAAGCTTTGTTGTGTGTCATATCCTGTAATTTCCCTTTCCAGGAAAAGCTCCTTCACAGAAGAAATACCTGGGTTTGAGAATGCTGCCTCTCACGCTGAAGTAAGCATGGGTTTGTTATGTCAGACACAAAAGCCATATTAGGATGGATGGTTTTTACAGCCAAGCTACAGCATTTGTGCTGCAGCCAGAGGGACCACATACTTGATCAGAGGTTTTATTTGTTATAGAGTTGATTCTGCACCTAGACCACCAGTGTTCACGGAACAGAGTGTCTTCCACTGGAGCTAACTGTGTCTTGTCCAATGATTCTAGGATTTAGCCTAGAGGATCTAACCACGCGCAGGGGCGAATGATTGTGATTGGTTCGATGCGATGCTCATTGGATGCCTGTGAGGCACAAGTGGAACAGGTTGTGCTCCTGAGAGGAACAGATAGGCTGTTCTCCTCAGAGGTCAAGGCTTTCTCCAGGGCACAGGAGTCACCTCGTTGTCTTTGCCAACCTTCTTCCTTCTAGCCTTCTACAAGACATGAAAAGGCAAGATCCGGATTTCCCTGATGTGAGCTCTGGGGTTTTTGTTTATGAAGTGATACAAGGAACAGCTGCTGAGAGGTAAGTGGAGATCAGGCCTGTGCCCAGCTTCCTGAGTTCTTTCTAAATGTGTGCCACGATCGATACTTGTTCTGTCAGCATGAATCAAGAAGGGAATTTAAAAATGTATTTAGTTTTAATCGATTTAAATGAGAAACACCCAGAAGTATTGGGCAATCTTTTTTTTTGGGGGGGTGTCTTTTGATTTTTGGTGCCACAGTATTGGGACTTTAGCTTAGAGGCTAGGTGCTGTCCCTTAGCTTTTTTACTCAAGACTGACACTCTACTACTGGAACCATTAGCTCCACTTCTGGCTATTTGCTGGCTGAGTCTCACAGTATTGCAGCCTGCCTGGGCTGGCTTTGAACTGGAATCCTCAGGTGGCAGACTCCCAGGTAGCTAGGATTTGAGTAGATTTAAAAGACTTACATGAAACAGTGTAAAATAGTTATCAAAAATTATAAAATGTTGCTGGTCACTGGTGGCTCATCCCTGTAATCCTAGCTACTTAGGAGGCTGAGATATGAAGATTACAGGTCAAAGCCAGCTTGGTCAGAAAAGTCTGTCTCCAATTAACTACCAAAAAATCTGGATGTGAAGCTGTGGCTTAAGTAGTAGAGCACAAGCCTTGAGTATAAAAGCTGCGGGGGGGGGGGGGGAGGGCTGGGAATGTGGCTCAGTGGTAGAGTGCTTGCCTAGCATGTCTGAAGCCCTGGGATTGATTCCTTAGTACCACATACACAGAAAAAGCTAGAAGTGGTGCGATAGCTCAAATGATAGAGTGCTAGGCCTTGCTCAAGCTCTGAGTTCAAGCCCTAGGACCAGTACACATACACCAAATTATAAAATGTTACACACAAATAATAGTATTTCAGGTATATTGAATTAAAATAAGGTATTGTATTAAAATTAATTCCATTTGCTTATATTTCTTTTTGTGCCAGTCCTAGGGCTTGAACTCAGGCCCTGGGCTCTATCCTGGAGTTTTTTGCTTATGGCTAGAACTCTACTACTTCAGCTACAGCTCTACTTCTGGCTTTTGGTCATTGAGTAGAGATGAGTCTCAGGGACTTCCCTTCTCAGGATGGCTTTGAACTGGGATCCTCAGATCTTAACCTAAGTGGCTAGGATTATAGATGTGAATCACCAGTGTCTAGCTTTACTTACAATTTTTTAAAAAGTCTACTAGAAAATTTTAAATGATATCTGTAGTTGTATTGAATGATATTGATATGAGTAAACAATCTAAGTTTATTTTACTGAGAATTACCAGATCTACTTTTTTCTTTTCAGTAGTGGAGGGAATTGAGTTCAGGACCTTGCACATACTAGGCAAGTGCCTTACAACTGGGCTATCTCTTAGCTATCTCTAAATCTACCCTTTCATTAGTAATTATTAACTCGTATTAAGTAATCAATAACAAATATTAAAAACAATACTACGTAGTTGAAATAGGTAAATAAATAAGAATGGGAGGATACAAAGAATTAAAAAGCTTAGTATATATTGTATGTAGGTTTTCTACATCATTTCCTTTGAACTCAGATGACAGCATGAGAAGTTAGAGCTATGACAACAGTCCCCAAAGAAGATGTCATTAAATGTTGTTTTGGAACAGTTAATATTAGGGAAGAGATGGATGTCTTACAAATATTATTTTCTGGGGCCTCACATTTCATCACTATCTTTAGTGTTTTTATTTTTCAAGAGCTCAGTCATCTGTTTAGATGGTGGTACTCTTACAGAGGGGGAAAAAATAGGTACCAACAGTACAACATAGCTAAGTGTTAGGTCTCATGTTATCAAACTTGGCTTATCATAGGCTTTTCTAGACTTTCCTGGTTCCTGCCCTGCTCCTTCCCCAATTCTGTATTTTTAACTTCTGGGCCCAGACCAAAGTGACTCCATTTAGCTGTTGTTATTCAAAAGGTGTAGAACCACTGGAAACAGCTGGAGTGAAAAGCAGAGAAGCAGTCATAGGCTCACCCTCCAACCTCTACTGAATCAGTCAGTGTATTTTTCTTCTGCTGCCTCCTCTTCCACCTCCTCCTCCTCTTCTTCTTGAGGAATGATTTCACTATGTAGCCCAGTCGGTCTTGAAATTTTCATCCTCTTACTTCAGTTTCCTGAGTGCTGGGATTATAAGTGTGTACCACCATCACCACCAATACTAATAATCATTACCATTAACAATAAAAATCATTACCATCATTAACAATTACAATAATTAATAATTATTAAAAGTTAATTATTGATCATTATTTATAATAATTACAATTATATAACATATAAAGCAATACACTATATATCAATATATTTATATAAAATACAATATGTATAATTACCATTACTTGCTATTATTATTAACAATTCTTAATTACATATAATTATTAATAACACCACATCATATTATTATTATTTTATTTATTTTGCAGTGCTGGGGATCAAATTCAGGGCCTTTCCTGAACCACACACACCTGTATTTCTAACATTTTAACATTTTAATTCTTAGTAGCTAGAATGTGAGATGTACTGCTGGAAGTTATTATATATAGGACTTTCTCCTTCCTGATTTTCACCACTTATACTGAATAGGATAATAATTACAGTGATAACAGCTGGCACTTAGGAAGTATTTACTAATCTCAGACAACATACTTGTTTGAGCCACCAACAATCTTAATCTTATATTTATTATTTTACAGGGGAATCAGCCCTGTGGAAGCAGAGTTTAATAAACTTACCCAGTAGTTCAGACATTAGGAATGTGGACCCCTCTGTGATGATTCTGCTTGTGTGGATGTTTTCTAATTTCTGAGTCAGAGTTGGTTTAATGGCAAGAAGATGTTCTGTTTCTTTTGGGGGGGGGGTTGAGGTGGGAAGATACTGGGGTTTGAACTCAGAGCCTGTGCACTGTCCCTTAGCTTTTTTGCTCAACTCTACCAACTGAGCCACAGCTCCACATCTGGATTTTTGGTGGTTAATTGGACATAAGGGTCTCATGGACTTTCCTGGACAGGCTAGCTCTGACCATGATCCTCAGATCTCAGCCTACTGAGTGCTAGGATTATAGGTTGTGAGCATGCAGGCAAGAAGATGGGTTTTCTTTTCCTTCCTTCCTTCCTTCCTTCCATCTTTCCTCTCTCTCCTCTCTCTCTCCCTCTCTCCTCCCCTCTCCCCCCCCTCTCTCGGTTGTGGGGCCTGAACTCTGGGCCTGGGTGCTGTCCCTCAGCTCTTCAGCTCAATGCTAGTGCTCTATCACTTGGGCTACAGGGCCACTTCCAGCTTTTTCTGCTTATGTGGTGCTGAGGAATCGAACCCAGGGCCTCATGCATGGAAGGCAAGCACTCTACCACTGAGCCACCTTCCCAGCCCAAGAAGATGGGTTTTCAAGTCTGAAAGACCTAACAGCAAGTCCATTTATTCACTTACAAGTTGTGTCACAGGCCCTTTGTCCCATGCAAGCCAATCCTCAGATCTAGTGCATAGTAGGTACTCAATAATAATTCACAGGTTTTTTTCTTATTCTGTTTTCCTACTCATAGTTTTCTATGAATTAAGTTCTTTCTTTGCTCACAAAGCCACAAATCATCCTCCAAAGCCATCTGTCCTGGTTCTAAAAGCCTCTGTATTTGCTCCCCACACATACTCTTGCTTTAAATTTCCTCTTTCTGGGCTGGGATATAGCTCAGTGGCAAAGCACTTGCCTAGCAAGTGCAGCGTCCTGGGTTCGATCCCCAGTACCAAAAAAGAAAAGACCAAAAAAATACAGTTAATAAATTTCCTCTTTCTTTTTCAGTTCTGGACATCAAAGCCAGGGCTTCGTACATGCAAAGCACACTTTCTCCCCCTGGACTACAACCACAGCCATATATATATATATATATATATATATATATATATATATTATTGTTTTTGTGTTGGTACTGGGCCTTGAACTCAGGGACTTGGCTTTTTTAGCTCAAGGCTGGTGTTCTATCACTTGAACCACAGCTCCACTTCCTGCCTTTTGCTGGTTAATTGGAAGTAAGAAACTCAGGAACTTTTCTGCTCAGGCTGACTTTAATCATATTCTTCATATCTCAGCCTCATAAATAGCTAGGATTATAGGTGTGAACCACCAGTGCCCAGTCCTATTTCTTTATAAATGGCACATGTCAGCTGGGCGCCAGTGGCTCACACCTGTAACGTTAGCCACTCAGGAGGCTGAGATCTGAGGACAACAGTTCAAAGCCAGCCTGAGCAGGAAAGCCATGAGTCTCTTATCTCTAATCACAGAAGAAGCTGGAAGTGGCACTGTTGCTCATGTGGTAGAGTGCTAGCCTTGAGAAAAAGGAGCCCAGGGACAGTGCCAGAGATTAAGCCCCAGGACCAGGAAAAAAAAAAAAGAGAGCTTGGTTAATCCTACCACATTGTCATTTTTTTTTTTTTTAGCTTCTCATTTCTCTTAAACCATCTTGCCTAGAGCCATTAAATCTAATGCTCCCTTTTTAGTCAGTTTTTTTTTTTCACTTTAAGACAAAATCATTAGCCTGGAACTATATTTGTGTTGTTTTGTTTTCAGAGCTAGCTTTTGTGTTCAGAATAAATATTCTATATGAAGCTAATGATAAGAGCCTAAGTATAATCACAATTTTGGCAAAAAGAAGCTACATCGTGAGCTTTAAATTTTGTCTCAGAGTACTGACTAGCTTTTGATGGCCTGGAAGCAGAATGTCTATAAGGCAGCTCAACATATTCTCCAGGTCCTTAAACTATGGGCTGTCCCAATCAAACTGAGCAGGGAACAAGTGCCATTGAAAAATACAGAGTTGGGAGTGATGGGTGACAATGTTGTCAGACACTTTGTATTCATAGACTGTTTTATAGAATGGGAACTTCTTTGCCCAACTACTTAAAGATAATAAAAATGTAAAAAAATACAAAAAAATATAGAGTTGGTTTTGTCCTTCTGATGGTGAGATGGAATGTACTTGATGTTTATAGAGGTCAGAGATGAACAGAAACCAGAACCTAAACTCTCCATTCCAAATCAGATCAATCAAACAAGAGGAATAAACTTAGAGTCTGATAGGAAATTAAGTTTATGATGGTGGTTAGGACCGGTGTCCTGTAGGTGATTTGGAAGTATATCTGAGAACAGATCTCATATTTGGAAGGATTAAGGCTATTTCTAGTTTCTTGATGTGTATTTCCAATGCCAGCAGAACAGGGCCACAAGAGAGATACACACTGCTTTGTAGCTGGGGAAAATGAAAACTTTCCTTATGGGTTCATGGTCTTTATTTCTCCTCTCCAGCTCAGGGTTGAGAGACCACGATGTAATTATCAGCATAAATGGACAGCCTGTTAGGACCACAGCTGATGTCATCGAGGCTGTAAAGGACAATGACACCCTCTCCTTCATAGTGCGACGTCGGGGAGGTCAGACCCTGTTCCTGAGAGTCACACCTGAAATCATCAATTAAATGTCTTAAAGAGAAACTGTCTAACAAAACCAAAGTTCTGTTACCTGGTTTGTATTGAAGATGTGCTAGAGGTGGTGGCAGGGCTTTAGGATCTCTGTTATAAAGAAAAATGAACACCTTAAACACACACACACACACACACACACACACACACAAAGACACAGTCAGAGAACTTTAGTCTGGGAATGCCATTCTGCTACAAACAATCCAAGTCAAAGAAGTCGTAGGGAGGTTTGGAGCTGATTAGATTTTATTTAAAGGTAACAACTGACAAATAGGCAATTTCTAATTGTGTGTGTGTGTGTGTGTGTGTGTGTGTGTGTGTGTAGATACTGGGGCTTGAACTCAGGACCTGGGTGTTCTCCCTTAGCTTTTATTTTTCAAGGCTATCATCTTACACTCTTAGCACTTGAGCCAGAACTCTACTTCTTGGATTTTGCTGGTTAATTAGAGATATGTCTTGTGAAGTTTCTTGCCTGGGCTTGCTTTGAACCAAATCCTCAGATCTCTGCCTGAATAGGTAGGATTACAAGTGTGAGTGCTTGGCTGTCTAATTTTTTTTTTTTCCCTGGGGTTTGAACAGAGGACCTGGGCATTGTCCCTGAGCCTCCCTGAGCCTCTTTGTACTCAAGGCTAGCACTCAAGCTAGAGTGCCACTTCTGGCTTTTTGAGTAGTTTATTGGAAATTAGAGTCTCACAGTCTTTCCTGGCCCAGCTGGCTTTGAACTGTGATCCTCAGATCTCAGCCTCCAGAGTAGCTAGGATTACAGGCATAGCTGTTGGCACCCAGCTTGGCTGTCTAATTAAATACTGACTGGGGGTACTCTACCATTCTAAACCTCTTCGATAGCCATGGACTGCTCACATGTACAAAAAGACTTATCTACCAAATATTAAGAAACAACCTGAGCCCAGGGTATACAAGTATTAAAAGTTTTAATAATACTCCTTTGCTCGCTCCTTCCTGAGGCTGTTTGGCCAAGGCTTGTGGACAGAGGAGGCCCCCTATTTAGAAGTCAGATTGGAACTGGCAGTGGCAGACTGTCATATAAGAGTATTACTAGTGACTCTCAAATGATCACTGCAGCAGAAGTAGCTTTGTTTCCCAGTGTTTCTGAGAAATGAGCTTATTCTCTAAAATAGTTTGAGTAATTTATAGACCCAAGCTCTTCCTGGAAGTATTCATGATTTCAAGTCTTGGAGCTGTCAAAGTTTTCTTTTAGAAAAAAAATTGTTTTTGGCCAGGCCCAGTGGCCCATACCTGTAATATCAGCTACTTGGGAGGCAGAGAAAAGAAGATTGAAGGCCAGCCTGGTCAAAGCACAAGCTCCACATGGTGGTATGTGATTATAATCCCAGCTATGAGGGAGGTATTGGTCTTGGATTGAAGTTAAAGACTTACATGGAAAAAAAGCCCGACAAGACCTTACCTAAAAAATAACTAAAGCAAAAAGAACTGGGGGCATGGCTCAAATGGTAGAGCCAAGCTCTGGGCCCCAAATTCAAATCCTGGTATTGCCAACAACAACAACAACAACAATAACAACAACAACCAAACTGAATGAGACTTGTAAATACTCATAGGGAAATTTTATTTTTAAATGACAGACCTCCTGGTTGAAAGTAATAATTTTAATTCCTATTTTCCAAACATCCTTGAAATGACCCAGGGCCCATTACATGAGTTACATAATCAGCCCAAAAATGAATTGTTGTTGTTTTTTTAATATGGCATCCTTGATGCCCTTAAGTTCTGTACTAAATTTTTAAGGAAAGTCTAGTGTCTTTCTGTGTGTGTGTGTGTGTGTGTATGTGTATCCTGAGGCTTGAACTGTCCCTGAGCTTTTTTGCTGAAGGTACTAACATGAGACACACCTCCTCTTCTGGCACTTTCCTGCACAGGCTGGCTTTGAATGGTAATCCTGAACTCAGCCTTCTAAGTAGCTAGGAATATAAATGTAAGTTACTGGCATCTGGAGAACTTTAAAAACATAACAATAGAATTTTTAAAAATTTTGTTTTTGGTACTGGGTCTTGAACTCAGGGCTTCAAGTTCATGGCTGGTGCACTACTAGTTGAGCTATACATACAATTCATTTTTTTGCTGGTTGGAGGTAGAGTCTCATGGACTTTTCGGCCCAGGCTGGCTTCAAAGTGTGATCCTCAGATCTCAGGCTTCTGAGCAGCTAGGATTACAGGTGTGAGTCAGTGAAGCCTGGCTTGTTTAAAATTTTTATACAACAATTGTTCCCTCTACTAGTATGGAAACAGTGATTATATTAAGGATGATAAAGCAGAACCTTTTAGGAAAACTGATACAGAATGATAGAATATTTCCAGAGAGTCATTTTGTCTGTGATTCTTCATCTTTAAGTCAGTGGTTATCTAAGAGTATGCTTGGAGCCATTTTACCTTGTTTTAATAGGTAAATTACTCTGAAAAACAGGTTCTGGGATAGTCTTGCCCACAAAGTCCATTTTTTATTTCATGCTTAGCAGCGTTTCTGAAATTAGATTACAAAGTATAGAAACTCAATTTGGAAAACCATTTATAATTCCAGGGGCTGGAGGCATGGCTCAAGTGGTACAGAGCCTTCCTATCAAGTACAAGGTCCTAAGCCCAAACCCTCATAGTACCAGAACAAACACTAGTTTGTTTTATTCCAAGTGACTTGGGAATGCAGAAGATGAATTGTATCTGTTTTCAATGTCTGTGCCAATGTAACAACATTTACTATCATGCTTTATAGGGATAATGTGTTGTTTCTTGTTGCTTCCTAAAATCATATTCCAATTCTACACTCTATTTGATATTCTTGAAGGAGTATGCTTTTCTTTCTCAGAGCATGGGGTTCCTCATTGTTATCTCATTTAGTTAGGAAGAAGAATTTTATAATTACCTGTAAGAAATCTTTTTCGGCCTAGAACTTGGGCTGGTTAAAAGTGTATGTGTGTGTATGTGTATTTGTCCTGGGGCTTGAACTCATGCCTGGTTGCTGTCCTTGAGCTTTTGTGCTCAAGGCTAGCACTCTACTACTTGAACCACAGCTCCATTTCTGGCTTTTTGGTGGTTAATTGGAGATAAGGGGCTCATAGACTTTCCTACCTGGGCTGGTTTTGAACAGCAATCCTCAGATCTCAGGCTCTTAGTGAAGTAAGGCGACTGGGTCTACGCCTCCCCTAGATAATTAGCCCTTGATTTCCTAATTGTTTCCTTAGATGGTTTGTTTATCTATTAGGTTTAAGTGTCTTCATCTGTTTTGCTTTGTTCAGGTATAACACTTTTGTTGGGTTTGATTCCACACACTTTGTGTGGTTTTGGCCTATATAAGCTTTGTGCTAGCTGCATTTGGGCTGCTAGTCTTTAATACAAGAGTCTAGCAACAGTCCTCTGGCTCTCCAATAAAGACTTATACTTAGGCCTCTGAAGTGGTGGCTTCCCGGGTTCTCATGACTGAGTTGCCTTACAACATCAGCAGCTAGTATTACAAGCAAGAGCCACCAGTGTCCGGCTAACTAAAGTTTTACATAGGACAACTTTACCAAAGAGGGGCAGCTCTACTCACATGTTTGATACTGTTGGCTTTGGAACATAAATGAAGAAATTACTGCATTGCATATACTGTCTCTGGACTACAATAATGGTAGAAGATGAGTTTACTAGTAGGTTATATCCCATGTTTAGCTTTCAGCCAAAAATAAAGCACCAAAAAATTCAGTTTCATTCTGTCTACTGAAAATACTCATACAGCAAGCACTCCAGGTTGGCAAGATTTATTCTGAAATTGAAGTTCAAAAATGGTGTGTATTAAAATCCACAGCCATTTTTATGTCTGCTGGAGATTTTCACTGGTTCAGCTCCAGATCTGTTGTGCATGAAGACTCCAGGTGACAAAAGACACATGGATTAAAATACTCATTTCATTCCTCTCATTGGGTCTGCCCCCTATTGGGTCCATCTCCTCCACAGGACTAAAGATTTAGTGTTGTACAGACACAAAGAGCATGGAACCCATCTGTAACTTACGAGTTAGCACTATATTTTATATTGTGTACATGAGGAAAGTATGCAGTCCCACAGCACTGTTTGCTCATCATTTCTAGTCTGCAAGGGAGGATCTGGGTTGAAAATCTGAAGTCCAAAGAATCTTTCTTCACATCCATTCCCTCCAAAGAGGGCTGGCAATCTTCATGTCTGACTGACATCAGAGCTGAGAATACTTCCTCAGTCCCACACTTGCTCCCCTGGGCCATAAGAGCGGCGATTCTCAGTAAATAGTGCACCAATTGCTGCCATCACTTGGCATCAGCCCTCCAGTGATGAGCAAAATAAGATCCACAAACCACCAGATCCCAAGTCCTCCAAGTGTCAGCAGTTTGCCGACTGCTGTGCCAGTGTGTCCCAAACAGAAGCGATCCACGCCGAAACATCCCAGGAAGAAGGAGTAGAGTAAAGTGGTAATGAAGTAGTGGCCAGTATACCTGAACAAACAAGGAGGAATAGGAAGATGTTTTGCCAAATAAATGAAGCACTTGAAGATTAATGAATTTAACATTATGGCCTCTTATCCTCTGTTTCATATTTTTTTGATAGGGTTTGTCAGGTGGGGCTGCCAGGGGAAAGAACAAAGAGACTCACAAAAAACCCATTTATGAACTACTCTGAAGGGACTTATGGGAGGGAAACCAGAATGGTTCTAAGATAGGAGCAAGAAAAAGGTTTAGATCATTCCCTTTATTGGAATCTCTGCAGAACTGTCAAATCAAGGCAGGGTGGGTGGAACATGTTAGGATTGGGTAATTTGAATAAGTTCAGCAAGTTCTAGGCAGTAGAGGAGGTCCTAGTGGCCTGGCCCTGGGATGATTAAGGCTCAGGAATAGAATACAGACCAATTAAAGGAAGCATGGCTCTAGATTGGTTAATTTATCTGTCAAGGACTGTCTCTTGGCTAAGCCTTTGTTATCTGACCAGTCTTGGGAATTAGAAATTCAGTCTTCCCA